GGTTGTCTGTTGCAGGGTATGGAACAGGCACCCCCGAGTGGTATGTTCAGCGGGGGGGAGGGGGTAGAGACACAAGTGCGCCCACTTTTGTAGGTGCTGGGGGCTGCATTAGCCCTCCCTGACGGGGCTTTTCGGTGTGTCGAGGGAGAGGTCCGGCGGTGGGGGTGTTGCGGGAGCGCCCCCACGTGGACCTCTCTCTAGCCAATCCCCAGCTGAGCCGCCCTTTGTGGCCAACCAGGCACCGCCATCTCGCTGATACGCTTAAAATCCCCACCCCCTTTGTGCCTGCATGCCTCTTCGCTGAGAGGAGGGTGAGGGGGCTGAAAGGGGAGCTCTGTCCACCAGGCTGGGTGCCCCACCCCTCCTGGCTCCTCACGCTGCTCCCTTTCTGTTTCCCTTACAATGCAGGAGTTCCTAGCCAAAGAAGACTTCCTCAAGAAATGGGAAAACCCCTCCCAGGTACTATGTCCCCAACCCAGATCACCTCTCACCCCCCCAATCAAGACCTCTGCAGCCCCATGCTGATTACTCTGCAATCACCCCCTGGATCTCTTTCCCCATCACTGTGCCACCTTGCCACACAGCCTCCGCTGAGGGTCTGGGGCTATTTTTGCTTCTGGGGGGCAGGGTTGGGGGGCTCAGTAGCGGGCGCTCTCCCGTCACAGTCAGTGCTGACCCTGGAGGGGCTGCCTTTCCGGTGAGCTATAAAACCCAAAGCTCTGACCCACTCATGGTCATTAATGACGCATCCAGTCTTGCAGTGCAAATCCCACTGTCCTGGGCAGGTTCCTTCCTGATGCCCCCAGGACAATCTGGCCCCACATCAGGCTTGTTTTTCCCCCTCTTCCAGAACATGGCCAATTTGTATCAGTTTGATCGAATCAAGACCTTGGGGACGGGCTCATTAGGGAGGGTGATGCTGGTGAAAGACAAAGAGACCGGGAATCACTATGCCATGAAGATCCTGGATAAACAGAAGGTGAGATGCTGGGGGCTCCCGCGGAGATCTGCCCTGGGACTGTGGAATCCCCAGTGCGGGGGAGGGATTTGGAGCTGAACCCTGTGTGGGGATGCAGGAGAGGGGAGTGTGTGGGAGGCGCAGGGGGTGCTGCGCCAGCAGAGGAAGATCTGATGTTGCTATTTCCTTTTCTCTCCCAGGTAGTGAAGCTGAAAGAAATTGAGCACACCCTCAACGAGAAATGCATCCTCCAGGTTGTCAACTTTGAAATCCTCGTCAAGCTAGAGTATTCTTTCAA